TGTGCACCAATCATGATACCCCACAATCCCCTTCTCCCTCCCACCCCTCCCTTTTAACAACCGCTAGTCCCTTCTTAGAGTCTGTGAGTCGGCTGCTATTTTGTTCCTTCAGTTTTGCTTCGTTGTTATACTCCACAAATGAGGGAAATAAAGACTAGAAACAACAAATGCTGGCGAGGATACGGAGAAAGAGAATTCATTTTTCTTAGATCTCTTATCCCAACTAAAAAAGCTGTACCTATACCTATTGGAAATGTTGACAATAGCTCCACTGAAGTTACTAAATTTGTTCATGCCAAATAAGTCAAGTGCGAGTTGTAGTTTTTATCATCCCAAATATTATAGGTCATTTTGCAAAAAATGTATAAAATAGTCACCATTATTGCATGAACATTAAAATCAGTAATTTTCCTCTCTGAAGCTGAGATGTCTCAAAACTTTCATGGCATTCATTTTGTTCTTCAGCTTTTAGGGGAAAACAATCAAGAAAAACATTAAGTCCTAGACATGTCATGAGCTAAAATATGAAATAAGATATTTAAAAACAACAGGGAAACATTATCACAGATGAAACATTATACACTAAACCCCCAGAAAAGCAACTAAACATTTGAAGTACTTAGAAAGTTCAGTTCAGTGGCTAATTATATGTATATATGACTAGATATTCTTAATTCCAGAAATAACAAGAAGATAGAATTTTTAAATGACCTCATAATATAATTCTCTGCCTAAAGCAATCTAAAGATTCCATGCAATCCCTATCAAAATACCAACAGCATTCTTCAATGAACTGGAAAAAATAGTTCTAAAATTCATATGGAACCACAAAAGACCCTGAATAGCCAAGGCAATCCTGAGAAGGAAGAATAAAGCAGGGAGAATCTCACTTCCCAACTTCAAGCTCTACTACAAAGCCACAGTAATCAAGACAATTTGGACTGGCACAAGAACAGACCCATAGACCAGTGGAACAGAATAGAGTGTCCAGATATTAACGCAAACATATATGGTCAATTAATATTTGATAAATGAGCCGCAGATATACAATGGGGAAATGACAGCCTCTTCAGCAGCTGGTGTTGGCAAAACTGGACAGCTACATACAAGAGAATGAAACTCGATCTCTGTCTGTCTCCATACACAAAAGTAAACTCAAAATGGATCAAAGACCTGAATGTAAGTCATGAAACCATAAAACTCTTAGAAGAAAATATAAGCAAAACTCTCTTGAATATGAACAGGGGTAACTTCTTCATCAACATATCTCCACTGGCAAGGGAAACAAAAGAAATAATGAACAAGTGGGACTATATCAAACTAAACAGCTTCTGTACAGCAAAAGACACCATTACTAGAACAGAAAAGCATCCTACAGTATGGGGGAATATATTCATAAATGACATATCTGATAAGGGATTGACAACCAAATTATATTAAGAGTTCACACACCTCAACAAACAAAAAGCAAATAATCCAATTAAAATATGGGCAGAGGAGCTGAACAGACACTTCTCCAAACAAGAAATTCAGATGTCCAACAGACATGAAAAGATGCTCCACATTGCTAATCATCAGAGAAATGCAAATTAAAACCACAATGAGATATCACCTCACACCAGTTAGAATGGCCACCATCCAAAAGACAAACAACAACAAATCTTGGTGAGGATGTGGAGAAAGGGGAACCCTCCTACACTGCTGGTGGGAATGTAAATTAGTTCAACCATTGTGGAAAGCAGTATGGAGGTTCCCCCAAAACTAAAAATAGAAATACCATTTGACCCAGGAATTCCACTCCTAGGAATTTATCCTAAGAATGCAGCACTCCAGTTTGAAAAAGACAGATGCACCCCTATGTTTATCACAGCCCTATTTACAATAACCAAGAAATGGAAGCAACCTAAGTGTCCATCAGTAGATGAATGGATAAAGAAGATGTGGTACTATACACAATGGAATATTATTCAGCAATAAGAAGAAAAAAAATCCTACAATTTGCAACAACATGGATGGAGCTAGAGGGTATTATGCTCAGTGAAATAAGGCAGGCAGAGAAAGACAAGTGCCAAATGATTTCACTCATCTGTGGAGTATAAGAACAAAGCAAAAACAGAAGGAACAAAACAGCAGCAGACTCACAGAACCCAAAAATGGACTAACAGTTACAAAAGGGAAAGGGACTGGGGAGGATGGGTGGGAAGGGAGGGATAAGGGGAAAAAGAGGCATTATGATTAGTGCATATAATGTCGGGGGTGGGGGCGCACAAGGCAGGCAGTATAGCACAGAGAAGACAAGTACTGATACTATAGCATCTTACTATGCTGATGGACAGTGATTGCAATGGGGTATGTGGTGGGGACTTGACAATGGGGGTTATCTTTTAACCACAGTGTTGCTCATGTAATTGTATATTAACGATACCAAAATTAAAACTTTTTTTTAAATTTGAAAAAGTAGTATAATTCATAAATTTAATAGTTTCAGGATATAATGAAGAAAGCTCTACAACATTATTGGAGAACACAAAAGAAGACTTAAATAAGTGTAGAAATAAATATATTTTAGGATTAAAAAGTCCAATATTGTCAATACATTTCTCTTTAAATCAATGTATAATATTAATGCAATTATACTTACTTAGTATTCATGTTACCTGATAAAAACCATTCTAATAAATATCAACGAATAGTTGAACTGGTTTCAAGACCACCTTAGGAAGAATAGTAATGAGGGCACTTGTATAAGAGCTATTACAATAAATAATACTTTTATACTTAACAATAATTAAAATAGCCTGCTGTGACAAGAGTCTCAAAGGTAGTGTACTAAGTAAAAGAAGCCATGCTCAAAAGATTACTTACTATATGGTTCCACTTACATGAAAGTCTAGAAAAGGCAAATTTTTGGGACAAAAACCAGGGCACTAGTACTAGGCCAGTGGACAGGAGAGAGGGGTTGACTACAAAGGGCAAAGGGGAACTGGGGGGGATCAGTGAAGTTATCCTGTACTATAGTCATGATGGTTACATTACTACACATTTGCTAAGACTCACAGAATTATACACTAAAGAGTGATTTTCATATTTGTAAAGTGTGCTTAGGCATGTTTGTAAATTTCAGTGATCTAAAAATCATGCCTCCTACTAAGGGGTGAGTGAGTGAGTGGTGGAAGGAAGGAAGTGAGGAAAGGAGAGCAGAAGTCTGTGCTTGCTAGTAATATCAGTGGTGTTTCTGTAGTGTATGTTGATGGCAGGCAGTATTTTTAGAGTGGGAAAAAATAAACAATGTTAACAGTAATAGTTCACAAATTTCATATGACAAAGTGAGGCTAGATTATGTTAAAAATAATAGTGTGGAGAAAATTAATAACTCTTTGGTCTCCCAAACATTGAGTAATTAGTAGTTATTCTGAGTTGGCATAAGAGTATGTTGAAATTAATTGCAAATAATTTCTATCACAAATTTGTGACAATTTGTTCAACAAACTTTCAACCACACCAATCAATCAGTAATGTCCTTGTGTAAACAAGACTCTAGAATATTCTAACCCTATCATGCATTTCCGTAAGATGTGCCCAGAAAAAAGTCATCTCTGACCAGATACAATTCAACCTGCATATGCAATGTTTTATCCAGAAAATTGGTCGGTCAGTATAAAATAACTAAGGATGATTTGATGTGGCCTTTATGTAAAAAATGACATATTGATGTATTGCAGTCGTAGTATTTAAATGTTTTATTTTCTAGATCATTGCTATGATAAATCCAACAAAGCCACCCAAGATTCTCTTTGGATTTGTGTTGAAGTTGAAACACAATGAGCATCTCCTCCCATAGCCAGTTGCCATAAATTTCCTTGTATCTTTTATTCAGCTCCAGGCCTAGCTGCCTAGATGGCAAAGAGGACTATCATGAACAGCGCTGAAATAGAAGAGGCATACTTAAACGTGGAACAGAAGGTACAATGTATTACTTTGGGCAAGAGTATTCTATGCTTTCTTTTTCTTTCTGTCTGTCCTTTTAATTTCAGGATCACATAGTTTTGAATACTAAGGAATTGCCCTTACATCTTCTATTATATGATCAGGGTATACCCAACCATCTTCACCACCTCCTCCCTTGCCACCAAACCCCACAACCCAGCTCAATGAAATTATGTGCACTTCCTCCAATGTGTCATGATGTTTCATGCTTCCATGCATTTTCACAGACTGCTCCCTTTTTCTGGAATGCCTTTCTTCTCTCTCTAGTTGATGCTTACCATTAAGTGCTGTCTTCTCCTGGACACTTTCCTAGCCCTGCCCTGATTTAGATGTCACCTCTCTGCACTCCCATAGCACTCTGTGCATCCATGTAACACCATACTGTTCATGGTACAACACAATTGCAAATTTAATTCACCCTCTCCATCTATAGGCTGTAAGCTCTTGAGGCCCTGGATCTATCTTCTGGTACTTTGCAGGCTCACAGAATATGTGAAGAATGGTTGGAGGCACTGTGCTTAAGGCAAGCAAGTAACTAAAAATGAGTACACATTAGTTAGGGATTACCTACAAAATGCAGTTTTTTAACACTGAACAGTAGTTAACAAGGCACTGGGCTCAACAACTATGTGAGGTGTCATCTGTTTGCATTTTCAAAATGCATATTGCCACTAATAATAACTGTTATAATGGCAGCAATAATAAGGTATTTGTGAGAATTTAAAATATGCTAAAATAATAAAAGAAACACATAAAGAAATTTTTGCAGATAAAGAAATTAAATTGAATTTATTTTGTCCAAATTTGCATGAAAGAAGTGATGAAGGTGGGATTTAAATGCATGCCTGCCAGACTGTAGATGTCATGCTTTTAACCATTAAAGGCAGCAAAAAAGAGGTTTGCTTTTTAACAGTCAGTTACACCCACTATTCCCTTATTCCCTTATATAGAACTCGACATTAAAAGTTTATTTCTTTCTAATGTCCAAGAGTTTATCTCATCAGAAGTGTCATCTATAAAGTGTGTTTTGAATTTATATGCCGAGTCCTTATCTTCTTGATGGCTGCTTTTACTTCTTTATTCCTTAATGTATAAAGAATAGGATTTAAGAGAGATGTGAAAATTGTATAAAACACAGAAAGAATTTTATCTACAAAGTATCTGCTGAAGGGCCATACATAAATAAAGACACATGGGGCAAAGAACAGAGTCACAACGGTGATGTGTGCTGAGAGAGTGGAGAAGGCCTTAGGGGAACCGCTAGCAGCACATGCCTGACTGAGTATATGATGACTGTGTAGGACACAAGCAAGAGGAGGAAACAGACCAGGGGCAGGAGGCCGCTGTCAGCAACGACCAGGAGTTGCAGAATGTAGGTGTCCTTGCAGGCAAGTTTGATCACAAGGGGAAGATCACAGAAGAAGCTGTCCACAGCATTGGGACCACAGAAGGGCAAATTCAACATGAAAGCCATTTGACTAGATGAGTGTACAAATCCAACTGTGTAAGAGGTTAACAATAGCCCAGTGAGCACTCATGGGCTCATGATGGTCAGGTAATGGAGAGGTTTGAAGATGGCAACATACCTGTCTATCGCCATGGCTACAAGCAACATCACCTCACTCCCACCTAGGAGGTGCCTGAAGAACATCTGAGAATAACATCCCCACCAGGAGATGGTCTTCTGTTCTCGGAGGAAATCCGCAATCATTTTAGGGGTAGCAAAAGAAGCCAGGAGCATATCAATACAGGAAAGATTGATAAGCAGAAAATATATTGGTGTGTGAAGGCATGAGTCAAAGGTCACAGTGACCAAGATGAGGAGGTTTCCAAACACAATCCCTACATAGATGGCAGAGAATCCCAGGAGAAGTAAAATCTGAAGATTCTGAGATTTGGAAAGTCACAGAAAAATGAATTCAGATACCACTGAATGGTTAGCCCTTTCCACGTTGTCAACTATATCCCATAAGAATCAACATGCATGAGAAAAATAGGCAGGAAAATTGTGTTTTCAGAAAGGATGGTTCATGCTAATGTTCAATTTTGCTACTTGAGAGAGCACCTGACTTATGAGCACCCACCACTTTTGGGAAATTTTGTTGGTCAGTGACTTCCTAAATGGCCCAGACAAGTATGCCAAGTCTTTGGTCAAGCTCAAGAGTAGATATTTCTGAAAGACAAAATGAAAATGGTACATGAAACCATAATTGCCCTGGTTGTGAACTTGCAATCAGAAGAACTCTAACCAACATTCATTGGGCAACATGGGACAAGTAACTCTTCTTTTGAGGATTGAGTTTCCTCCTCAGTAAAATAAAAACACAGAACTACGTGACACAGAATGCCTCACTGTGCTGAGAGATCTCCATGGACAAGACGATGATTAAGGTGGATTCTGTATTCACAGAATGATATTGAGTTTTTTAACCTGGAAATGAAAATATATACAGAAATCTCAAGAACCATATTTTGAAATAAGTTTTTGTAAAGAACTGTGACTTTAAATCTTAACTTAAATCTGAATCTTTAAAACTTAATTTTAAATCTGAAGGGTAAGCTTTTAGATGCAGAGAAATGCAGCTGGTCTCTTCATTGCTCCTTCCTACATCAGGCCTTCACAGCTCATTCTACTATTAGAGGTGGTCATTGCACACTTTTAAAGAGTCAAACTGTATTTTTAATTTATTCACCCGACATTTAACATTTTTCACAGAAAATGCCTTTTCTAAGGTTTTAGGCAAGGAGTACAAAGGATGGAGAAGGTCCACAGCCAAATATAACTGACTTTACTTCATTTTTAGTGTGTATTCACTCGTTTGTTACAGAGGATCACCAGTCGGCTTTTGCGTGTTTATTTTTCAAAGGTTTCAAATGACCAAATGAGAAAGCTTGAGTCAACTCTTTTATGTTGGTAAAAGAAATAACAGTTCGTTCAGTATAATCACCTAAATTTATTTCATAACGAGCCTTTGCTTATTGCAAACCTTGTTTTTCTGGCTTTGTTTAAAAAGTCACTTTCATCACTAATAGTTCCTAAATTATTTTCTTTAATTACAGGCTTTTTACGAAATTCCTTCCCTAATGAAGTATAGACTTCTTTTTTGTGCTACTATTACTTACCAGAGAGGTGGAAAATACTTTCACGTGAGGGTGCCTTATGTGAAAACCAGGAATAGTCTTGCATTTCCTTTTCCTGTATTTGCATCAATTTCCTGCAATTTATTCTCCCATTATGATTCTTAAAGACAGATCATATGCTGTAAACTCTGTTTCTTGAGACAACCCCATGAGTATATTTATCCAATTAAGGATGCATTTTTTTCCTATATAAACATAGCTTTTGGTCAATTTTCTACTTTGAGAAACTTGGATTGATATAAAGTACTAAATCACATTAAATAGTAAAGTTTTGTGTTTCCATGTCTAAAAAGACTAGTGCCTTTTGGTTTTATATCTAATACTTTAAGGATCCACACTGATGTTTTTTGAAATCTAATTTTGAAACTGCATTTAAAGAGAGCAGGACAGTTTTCAAATATACACCAAGTAATTTATACACATTCTAGCATCTGGAATAGAGCTTGACATTCAAACATCAGTTGAATGAAAGAACAAATGAATGAACTATGTAACATATATTCAGGAACTAGATTAAAATCAATTTAAAATCCACAGAAATTAGGAACTTCAATAATATTTATTTTTAAATATCAAATAGGATGTTGAAGCATTTTTTAACAGATTAGTTAATGTATTTTTCCTTTAATTTACTTAAACAAGTAAAACTATCTTATACTAATGGATAACATATTTCACATATAACAAAAAAAACATTAACAGTTTAATAGTTTCTTGGATAGTTTCTGAGAAAAATAATATGCATATTAGTATTGTGTGGGGTGTGTGTGTTCTATATGTGTATATTGTGGGTGTTTCTATATGTTTATATTTAAATTATTTTTATTAAGACAATAGTGTTCATGCTATGTGAATAGCTATTTTCCTTGGGCTGGTCAATATGTTAAAAATATGTTCATGTAAACACTTGAAAGTTCATAATTTTTTGTAGCTATCTAGAATTCTGTTTTGTAGATAATGTATTATATAATTCCCCCAGAAAATGGTTTTTTTTTAGAAATTTACCAATACTTATAAAAATTCTGTTTTCATTATAGCATTATCTTCTAAAAAACCTGCAATTATGTAACTATCCTACCAATCCCAGATTCTCCTAGGCATTCATAATCAGCTCCTTATTCACCCTAAAATTCCAAAAGTGCTTTCTAATATTGCAAAAATTCAATTTCTGTTTAAGTAAAAACAAGTTCATGGTTTTCTGCATTCTTCATTCATTTTTTTCCCCTAATCTTACTTGTTTTCTTCTTTTTAGCTAGACAAATTCCTCTGTCTATATAACTAAATCCTTCAGGGCACTTCACAGTCTTTTTTACATAATAAAACCTTCCCTACATATAAAACACATAACAATTTCACTGTATTTATAGTCCATTTCATGTGTTCTACTATTTTCTAGGCATATCATATGTAATAAGTATTAATATTTTGAAATAGAAGGAACACTAGAACAATAGTTAAACATATTGTTCTAACCCTAGGTTTCTTTAATTTCTAGTGTTATAATTCTTTCCCCAAGTCATTTTTACGCTTCTTGAAAATAGACAAATTACTCTCATTCTTTTTGTAATACACATTATGAAGGCCATCAATAGAGCTGTTGATGGAGTGAATGAATGAAAGCAGAAAGATATTTAAAAAGAAAAAGTTAATTTTTTTTAGTAATGCTACCAATGATACATAACTATGTAGATAACTTAATTAAATGCCAGATAATTCTTCTACTTTTTCTTTCTTTATCTTCCTGTAGTGTAACTTGAACTAATCTATGATTTTCCGTTAAGCACATTTTCATATAATAAGTTTTAAACCCTAAACCCTAAATACACACACACACACACACACACACACACACACACACACACACACACACATACACACACACTCCCTAATAGTGAGGAAGGGGCAGGGGAAGATGGAGAAAAAGGAAACAGTTTGCACTTTCTAAGGGATCATTTGGATTGTCTGCCTGGAATCCTATCTTCCTGCAGAAACAAAGTTCCTTGGTTTTATTTTTACTGGGAAAAAACTAAAATGGCTGAGGATAAAGATATATGAACTTTAAAATTAACATTTTAATTCTAATGCATAGACTAATGGGCAGAAATATAACTGAACTGAGTATTAGAAGTTGAAATTTACTGACAGGAGATGGACTATAATCATCAATATATAAAGAGAAAAAGATAAATTGTGATTGATCATCTAGATGCTTGATCTACAGAGAACAAAATGTCCAGCTACTTGATAACATATGAAAGATTTATTCTTCATTTTAAACTTTAACATTATTTTTTAAATTATTTTAAATTTTGAACTTATTTTTAAAATTCTTTTTAATACTAACACAGAAGAATATGAAAGAAAAGCAAGTATAGCTTAGGTGAGATATGCCAAAAGCCATGCTCTTGTCCTCTTGATATTAATCATTTTAGCTGTTGTGCTTTTTAAAACAGAACAGATAAATGTATGTGTTAGGTCTGGTAGGTTTATAAGCATAAAAGAATAAAAAATTTCTTTGAAGATGAAAGTGAAGATTCCATTCAGCTTATTACTTCTTCTTGAGTGATCACTGTTTAACATGGATTGGAAATACTCTAAAATTTTTCTTAATAATGACATTGACATGATGAAGTTTGACATGTTTATATATCAGATAGAAAATAAAATCACTTGGTGTATCAAAGTGTATTCAACTTAATTATTTAATTTGCCCTATGATGTCACACTTACAATGAAAACATCCTGTATTTGTATGACAATTAGAATGCCTTCTAGAATTCTACAATTATGTCTCACTGATCAGCTTCTAAAGTACTTTACACATTTGATTTTACCTATGAACAGTGTTATCAAAAGCCAGTATTTAGAAATGTTTCTATATTGTTTTAATATATTTTAAAGCCTCCTCCATGACTTACCAGGTCAGACTGCTTCTGAATATTACTTAACTTAGGCCACAGTGAAACCTAGAGAACTTCTCTTTACAAACATAATGGTATCATCCCTAAAGTTACAGCAAATATGAACATTTTCTCTAAAAAATAAGGGATGATAAATATTGGGAGGGTGGTAATAAAGAAGTGATGTATTTTGAGACCTAATAATACCCAACTGATGATCAAATACCAGTGGGAATCATTAAAGATGCCATGTTCTTTTCCCTGAATAACATCAGAAAAAAACTATTTTCTGGGATTGCTTAACTATGGAAATTGGTATGCTTTACTTTTTATGGGCAACAGTTATGAGGAGCAATATAAAACTACTAGCAGGCCTAGGGTATTCTACTATGGGGATTCACTTGAAGAATATTATAAAGGATCAATCACAAAACCATAACTGATATTTACTGTATGTTCACCTCTGGGCTGGCACTCTTTTAAGCACAAGTAGACCTATCAAAACAGAAGAACTGGAGAAGCTCTAGATGGCAGCATAAGTAGGGCAAAGGAAATCTCCTTCCAAAACTATATATATTTTTAAAAATACAACAAATACAACTACTCCTGAAAGAGAGACCAAAAGATACACTACAATAGCCAGGCTACATCTACATCTGCAGGAACTCAGCATCTCATGAAAAGGATAAGCTACAAAGCCATGACCAGGCAGGACCTGAGCACTCCCCACAACCCAGCTCACCAGTGGGAGGAAATGAATCTGAATGGGGAGGGAGTGGAAGAACAGGACTACTAAATAACCAGCCCTAGTAATCTGCACTGGGAGCACAGACACACATTGCATTGTGTACTGGATATTAGAGAAATGAAAAAGTAAAATATGAGATGAAGACTGCAAGTGGGTCCCCACAGGCGGCTCCCTTGGGAAAAAAGAAAAGTGGGCACTTTTTAAAAGGCTTACAGGGACAAGAGCTTAACAGCTGGACAAAATCGTCCCAGCACACTCACCCAGCCGGCTGGGAATCTTAAGGAATCTTCAGGTGCCCTAACCTCCTGGGAGGTAACACAGCCCCAAAGCCTCTCAGGGCCTTAAGCAGCCTTCCATTCATTTCCCTGGCTGGTGCTGCAAGCAAACTGGCTGACCAGACACAGCTGCGGAACAGCCAGAGAACAGCCCTGCCCACAGCAACCACAAGAGTCTTCTCTAAGCATGCAACTAACCAGGACGGACCAGGAGTCTGCTGCTGGTGCGCAGCTGCCCAGCACAGACAAAGGAAGCTGGAGAAAGGTCAGGAAGGCATTAAGGGGCACCATTCTCGCAGGAGAACATACCCGGCACTTTGGCAACCCCCCGCAGGGCCCTAAGCTATCCAGAGGGCCGCTACACCCAAGGCAACTCAGGAGATTATCCAAGAGACTGCTCCTGGTGTGCAGGTAAATGGCACAGGCAGCGGAAGCTAGAACAAAGTCTGGAAGGCATGAAGGGGAGCTGTTCTCACAGGAGAATACACCCAGCACATCTGCGACCCCCAGCAGGGCTCTAGAGAGGATGGAAGACCACAGATCGCCCAACACAAGGGACCCAAGGAGGAAAACACCAAGACAGATAATGATTAAAATGTCAAAGATCAAAGACAAGGACAGAGTAATAAAGGCAGACAGAGAAAAAAGATCACCTACAAAGGAAAACCCGTCAGGCTATCATCAGACTTCTCAACAGAAACCTTACAGGCCAGAAGAGAATGCATGATATATTTAATGCAATGAAACAGAAGGGCCTTGAACCAATAATACTGTATCCGGGCACGATTATCATTTAAATTAGAAAGGAAGGGTGTTAAACAATTTACAGACAAGCAAAAGTTGAGGGAATTTGCCTCCCACAAACCACCTCTACATGATATTTTAAAGGGACTGCTCTAGATGGAAGCACTCCTAAGGCTAAATAGATGTCACCAAAGAAAATAAAATCACAGCAAAGACAGCAGACCAACCAAATGGTAACTAAAGGCAAAAAATAAAATCAACTATCCACAAATGCAGTCAAAGAAAACACAAAAGAGTACAGTAAAAAACACCTAACATATAAAGAACAGAGGAGGAAAAATAAGAACGGAGAGAAATAAAGAATCACCAGAACATGTTTATAATAGCTTGATAAGAGAGTTAAGTTAGATGGTTAGATAGTAAGGAAGCTATCCTTGAACCTTTGGGACTCACGAATCTAAAGCCTGCCATGGCAATAGTTACATATCTATCGATAATCACCCTAAATGTAAATGGACTGAATGCACCAATCAAAAGACATAGAGTAATACAATGGATAAAAAAGCAAGACCCTCTGTGTGCTGCTTACAAGAGACTCACCTTAAACCCAAAGACATACACAGACTAAACGTGAAGGGATGGAAAAAGATATTTCATGCAAACAATAGGAAGAAAAAAGCAGGTGTTGCAGTACTGATATCAGAAAAAGTAGACTTTAAAACAAAGAAAGTAACAAGAGATAAAGAAGGACATTACATAATGATAAAGGTCTCAGTCAACAATAGGCTATAACCATTATAAATATATATTCACCCAACACAGGAGGACCTACATATAAGTAACAAATACTAACAGAATTAAAGGAGGAAATAGAATACAGTGCATTCATTCTAGGAGACTTCAACACACCACTCACTCCAAAGGACAGATCCACCAGACAGAAAATAAGTAAGGACACACAGGCACTGAACAACACAGTAGAACAGATGGACCTAACAGACATCTGCAGAAATCTACAGCAAAAAGCAGCAGGATACACATTCTTCTCAAGTGTACATGGAACATTCTCCAGAATAGACCACATACTAGACCACAAAAAAGAACCTCAGTAATTTCAAAAAGATTGAAATACTACTGACCAGCATCTCAGACCACAAAGGTATAAAACTAGAAAGAAATTGTACAAAGAAAACAAAAATTCTCACAAACACATGGAGGCTTAACAACATATTCCTAAATAATCAATGGATCAATGACCAAATTAAAACAGATATCAAGCAATATGTGGACACAAATGACAACAATAGCACAAAGACCCAACTTCTGTGGGACTAGGTGAATGCAGTTCTAAGCAGAAAGTATACAGCAATTCAGGCCTATTTAAAGAAGGAAGAACAATACCAAATGAATAGTCTAAAGTCACAATTCTTGAAACTGGAAAAAGAAGAACAAATGAGGCCCAAAGTCAGCAGAAGGAGGGACATAATAAAGATCAGAGAAGAAATAAATGAAATTGAGAAGAATAAAACAATAGAAAAAAATCAATGAAACCAAGAGCTGGTTCTTTGAGAAAATAAACAAAATAGATAAATCTCTAGCCAGACTTATTAAGAGAAAGAGAGAATCTACACACACAAACAGAATCAGAAATGAGAAAGGAAAAATCACTATGGACACCACAAAAATACAAAGAATTATTAGAGAATACCATGAAAATCTATATGCTAACAAACTGGATAACCTAGAAGAAATGGACAACTTTCTAGAAAAATAAAACCTTCCAAGACTGACCAAGGAACAAACAGAAAATCTAAACAGACCAATTACCAGCAACTAAATTGAAGCAGTAATCAAAAAACTACCCAAGAACAAAACTCCTGGACCAGATGGATTCACTGCTGAATTTTATCAGACATACAGAGAGACATAATACCCATTCTCCTTAAAGTTTTCCAAAAAATGAAACAGGAGGGAATACTTCCAAACTCATTCTATGAAGCCAGCATCACTCTAATACCAAAACGAGGCAAAGACACCACAAAAAAAGAAAATTTACAGACCAATATCCCTGATGAACATAGACGCAAAAATTCTCAACAAAATATTAGCAAACCGAATTCAAAAATACATCAAGACGATAATACAACATGACCAAGTGGGATTCATCTCAGGGATGCAAGGATGGTACAACATTCTAAAATCCATCAACATCATCCACCACATCAACAAAAAGAAGGACAAAAACCACATGATCATCTCCATAGATGCTGAAAAAGCATTTGACAAAATTCCACATCCATCCATGATAAAAACTCTCAATAAAATGGGTATAGAGGGCAAGAACCTCAACATAATAAATGCCATATATGACAAACCCACAGCCAACATCATACTTAACAGCGAGAAGCTGAAAGTTTTTCACCTAAGATCAGGAACAAGACAGGGATGCCCACTCTTCCCACTGTTATTCAGTACTGGAGGTCTTGGCCACAGCCATCAGACAACACAAAGAAAAACAAGGCATCCAGATTTGTAAAGAGGAAGTCAAACTGTCACTATTTGCAGATGACATAATGTTGTACATAAAAAACCCTGAAGACTCCACTCCAAAACTACTTGAACTAATATCTGAACTCAGCAAAGTTGTAGGATACAAAATTAACACACAGAAATCCGTTGCTCTCATATACACTAATGAAGAGCTAGCAGAAAGAGAAATTAGGAAAAAAATTCCATTCACAATTGCATTAAAAAGAATAAAATACCTAGGAGTAAACCTAATGCAGGAAGTGAAAGACTTACACTGTGAAAACTACAAGACACTCAAGAGAAATTAAAGAGGACCCTAACAAATGGAAACTCATCCCATGCTCTTGGATAGGAAGAATTAATATTTCCAAAATGGCCATCCTGCCTAAAGCAGTCTACAGATTCAATGCAATCCCTATCAAAATACCAACAACATTCTTCAGTGAACTGGAACAAATAGTTCTAAAATTCATAGAATAGCCAAAGCAATCCTGAGAAGGAAGAATAAAGCAGGGGGTATCTTACTTCCCAACTTCAAGCTCTACTACAGTAATCAAGACAATTTGGTCCTGGCAAAAGAACAGACCCACAGACCAGTGGAACAGAATAGACTCCAGATATATTAATATATGATAAAGGAGCCATGAATATACAATGGGGAAATGACAACCACTTCAGCAGCTGGTGTTGGCAAAACTGGACATCTACATGTAAGAGAATGAAACTATTGTGTATGGGGATTACTGTCTATCCCCATACACAAAAGTAAACTCAAAATGGATCAAACACCTGAATGTAAGTCATGAAACCATAAAACTCTAAGAAAAAACATAGGCAAAAATCTCTTGGACATAAACATGAGCCACTTCTTCATGAATATATCTCCCTGGGAAAGGGAAACAAAAGCAAAAATGAATGAGTGGGACTATATCAAGCTGAAAAGCTTCTGTACAGCAAAGTACACCATCAATAGAACAAAAAGGCATCTTACAGTATGGGTGAATATATTCATAAATAACAGATCTGATAAAGGGTTGACATTCAAAATATATAGAGCTCACACACCTCAACAAACAAAAAGCAAATTGGCCACTTAAAAAATGGGCAGAGGAGCTGAATGGACACTTCTCCAAAGAAGAAATTCAGATGGCCAACAGGCACATGAAAAGGTGCTCCACATCACTAATCATCAGAGAATTGCAAATTAAAACCACAATGAGATATCACCTCACACCAGTTAGGATGGCTACTATCCAAAAGACAAACAACAACAAATGTTGGTGAGGATGTGGAAAAAGGGGAACCCTCCTACACTGCTGGTGGGAATGTAAAGTAGTTCAACCATTGTGGAAAGCAGTATGAAGGTTCCCAAAAAACTAGAAATAGATATCATTTGACCCAGAAATTCCACTCCTAGGAATTTACTCTAAGATGCAGGGGCCCAGTTTGAAAAAGACTGATGCACCCCTATGTTTATCACAGCACTATTTACAATAGCCAAGAAATGGAAGTAACCCAAGTGTCCATCAGTAGATAAATAGATAAGGAATATGTGGCACATATACACAATCGAATATTATCCAGCCATAAAAAGAAAAAAATCCTACCATTTGCAATACCGTGGATGGAGCTAGAGGGTATTATGCTCAGTGAAATAAGCCAGGCAGAGAAAGACAAGTATCAGATGATTTTACTCATCTGTGGAGTATAAAAACAAAGGAAAAAACTGAAGAACGAAACAGCAGCAGACTCACAGAACCCAAGAATGAACCAACAGTTACCACAGGGAAAGGAACTGTTGAGAATGTGTGGGAAGGGAGGGATAAGGGGAAAAAAGGGGGGCATTACGATTAGCAGACATAATGTGTGGGGGGACACAGGGAGGGCTGTACAACACAGAGAAGACAAGTAGTGATTCTACAGCATCTTACTATGCTGATGGACAGTGACTGTAATGGGATATGTGGTGGGGACTTGATGATTGCTCATGTAATTATAGATTAATGATACCAAAATTT